AGATAGATTTCCTTGTTAAAAAGTAGGTCAGAATGATGGCATGGCCAAGGAATGTTAAGGTTCTGTATCTAATCTGAATTCTATGCTATTGTATCTAATCTGAATTCTGTACTAATTCTGAATTATAATCTTCAGTCGATCTGCTTTAAGAATGGGACAGTCAAAAATGTAATGAGCCCTGCTGTCCTCACCTTGACAGAAAGGACAGAGACGTGAAGGATGATTAGTGAAGTGGGAGAGATATGCACTGAACTTTCCATGTCTAGTAAGAAACTGAGTTGTATGGTATAAAGGCAAGATGCAGATTTGCCATGATGTTTGCTGCCCAAGACTTGCTCCTCATTATGTTGAATGATACTGTTTCTAGTTTTGAAGCAGGTCACCCTGTTGTTAGCACGATAGGGCTTTTGCATTAGGCCTATATCAAAGTTTTAAGTTCATAGCAGAGCTGTGAATTGGCAGCAGTTGTACTCCTTAAGTTTATCTGCACGATTTTTAATTTTTGAAGTCTGGAAACTAACACCACAAGGACTATCACAGTCTCTAGACTATCTTGGAGAGTAGTTGTGCTTTCATCCTTTAGAGGATGGGACAGTCTTTGTCTAATGCATTGTGCCTGTGATTAGCTTGTTTTCCTTGAAGACAGTTGTTACAGCTCGGTACTTCAGACTTTACACATTTTTTAAATAAATGGTCGCCTATACATTGGCTGCATACTTAATCCAGAGAGCTTAGTCACACACAACTTTCACATGAAGCAACTTCTGTGTTTTTGTATGTTGGAAAGTTAGTACATAAAAGGGCATCAAACTCTTATATCCTGTTAATTGTCATGTTAGTTAACATAGAAGTTAACCTGTATGAAGGAGAATCCTCACCTCTCAACTCCAGATTTAAATTCAGGAAGGTCCCTTTATCTTTTCACTTCTCTAACCATGTTCTGGTAGGCCCCCTGCTTTTTATGCCATTTGTTTCCATGTTTTTCTACCGACGTAACTATGATAGCATAATCTATTCCATCTTTGCAGTCACCCATTCTTTTCGTCGAACAACTGTATTATATTATTAATGACTGGCCATCATGCATAGCTCAAAATGAAAAACAGTCGACAAAACTGTTGAAAAGACATCTGGGACATGCTTCTATATGCATATTATCAAAAGCGCTTTCACATGCATTGCTAACAGTTTTGCCACCTTTTCAAAATTGTGATGTTATACCGAAGCATGTGCATTATAGGAAACCATATGAGGCATGTGTGATGTCTTTTTACAGTCAAGAACTGAATAATGTGCATGACAGTTATAAACTACATAGGGACTTGTGTTGGAACACACCTAATATTTGCAAAATACTTGCAAATATTTTTATAAATTTATTTTCTTTCATCACAGTTTTTACGAAAACTGGAAAACTTAATAATTTATTTGGACCATGAATTTAAAATCGGTCTGTTTGTGTGAAAATTGGCCTGGTGGAAACACTAGTTGCTACAGTTCCCTCTTAATTTTTTTGTAGCAGAACAGAATATGTACTTCTCTGAGTAAAAAATTTTGCTGAGCAGATTCTGAGCAAAAAATTTTTCTGACCAGATACATAGACAATTTTATTTTTTTTCTGCTTTAAAAATTAAAATAATTAATCATGAAGTAAAGATTAAAATTTGTTTCATTATAAAAAAACTTTTTATTACAGTAATGTAAATTATTTAGTCACATAACAATCAGAAAGAAATATTTCAATTTTGATGAATATTTTCACTCTTATTTTCTTTTTCTTTGGAAATCCAGTATTTGGAGATAGATTGAAGATTCACTTCCTTTCCAGAGGAAAGATACATTCAAATTTTCATTAAATCACATAAGTGCTCCAATTCAAGTCTATTTGTGATTTTACACTTAATTGAATTCATAAAACTAAATTCACGTTCATAGTCAACACTAGATGCTTGAAAGTTCCAATGATATTGATAAGAACTGCTAGTTATTTAAACTCAACATAATTATGTACATAATTTAACATATCAGTGAATGTCTTAATTGAACAAGTTTTAATTTTTCAGATATAATGAATTTAAAATTACAGTATTGTTCTAATAGTTTGAGGCAGCACTTTCATTGTTATCGACATTTAAAATTAATGAAAATTTTGTAATCGATTGCTTGACATTCTCATTTTCAAATTCAAAAATAATTGAATTTGAAATCGCATTAAGATTAAATGTGTGAGAATACGCTGAATTTGAGATTAGACTCAAAAACTTTTTAATTTGTTGGGACATTAGGACTTGCTCACTTTGTCGCTGGATGGTGTAATTCATAAAATGCCATTTGGACTGTATGATCCTTTTTGTGTCAGGACCTGACACCATCTAGGATAGGATTTTGTACCCTAACTCACAATTTAAAGATCTATATTTAAAAGGAGGGCTGTATAATTATCCATTGGGGAAGATGGGGGTAAGTTTCGATCGTAGGCTGTTTGGATGTCCATTTTTAACTGAGGGAACAGACAGGTTAACAAATAACTAACAAAAGTTTAATGTATAAAATAAAAGGATACACAAAAGAACAATCTATCGTTATATCAATGTCTAACTACATACACTTCTAAACATGAAGAGTTTACATCAATAAAACATACTATGTCAGTTGACAATTGTTGCTCTATTTGTCGCACTGTCAAACAATTGGAGCTTGATTAATATACTTCATATGAGGAGGTAAATTGACGATATTGGCAGCCGGAGATGTAGGTGGGTTTGGAGATAGGTGATGAGGAACTGGAGCAGGATTATGCTCTTCTTATGGCTTCCACACTTTTATGTGGTAAGTTCCTTCTATATGGTTGTCAACCTTCTATGACTGTCTTTATGGCAATCCTCTATGATAATCGGCCACCTTTTATTTGGGCAGGTTCTTATTATTAATTACTGCCTGATATTATGGCATGTTCTTACTATCAGTGACTGCCTCAAGTTGTGGGAAATTGCCCTTTTTATGCGCAAGTTCTGTCTGATACAAATTTGAGGTTTGTATCAGCTGACGGGATGTTCTAATAAGTTAGATGTCCAGATGTTTGTCAGAATTAGAGATAAGCTTATGTGAAGGGAAGTTTGACATAAAAGTGACAAAATGTGTCATTTTTTTAGTGTTAAAATGTTAAATTATCCAACACCTGATGTTGAGAAAGCATTTATTAAAGAAACATTAACATTGGGATATGAAAAGAGTACAATAGAAGGGCTAATTAAAAGATATGAAGGCAGCAATATAATAAGATCACAATCAAATCAGTTTAAAATTTCCAAGTTCCTATATAATTGAAACATCAAGAACATCATGAAACAAGTATTGGACAAAAAACACTGAAAAATGATTTTCAAAAGAGCACCTAATATACACAATATTTTAAGAAATGATAAAGACATGATTAAAAAAAGAAGAAAAAGCAGGCATATATAAAAGTCCATTTCAAAATCAGGAATTAGGAATTAAGAAAGACTATATTGAGGTCACAAGCCTCATAAGAAACTCTTTCCCTGCCTCGCCTATTGGCACTACAGGGTTAAAGAGACTATGCCTTATTCATCGGCTCAGTCTGATACCTGACGTGGTAGACAGGAATGACATAGCTGGGCCACATGGTACATCTTTTGGGCTCCCATCCGCATCCAGGCCTAGCCCTCTAACCTGGCATAACTTTTATATTGTGCAGCCTGTGTCTGCACTTTTGGTCCACATTACTAAACCTTTAAAGCTCACAATCATGCCTACTTGCATGTTATATAGTTCAGACTCATAAAGTATCAGACAGCGGGGTCCCCTTCCCTACAAGAAGGGGCCCAGCCTAGTTGTCCATTAGGCATGTAGATCATAGGTTTATGATCATTTTCATCAGTTTCTTTAAGTTTCCTCTACTAGCTGCTAGTGTTCGAAGTACTTGTTCAGGCAGCCTAGACCAGTCGACTTGGCTGGCCCCTCGGCGGAAATCCTCAGTAAGAGGACAGTCAAGTACATAGTGTCTCGCGTCGCGAGGACACCCACAGGAGAAGCTACATCTCCTTCTCCAAATCTGGACATGAAGTAGGGAAACCTCCCGTGACTGGTCAAGGTGAGCTCTTCTCGACTGTATTGTGAGGGTATAGCTCCTGGGAAACCCTGGTGTGATGGTCTTTGGGAATCTCCCATGTGATGGCATTCCCTTGTTGGGTCCCATGATGGGTGGGATAATTAGGAGCTGAAAATTTATCATTGAATATGGATTCTTCATTTAGATTCAAAACAAAACCAACCAAGTACAGATAAATCACAATCAAAGGATTTTAACTTTTCCAACAAGCTAGCCTTCCTTATAGTTCATAGTAATGGAGAGAAACCTCTGTCTAAATACTCTTTTTTTCTAATTCAGAATTATTTGAATAGACTATTGGGCATCTAAAGAAAATACAAAAATTGAGGTTGGGATTTACTCATATAAACAGCCTCTCCTCAACAGTAGGCAAAACTCTTAACAACAAAGACACTGGGAGACATGGAAGTTACTGTCAAACCACATGGAAGTTTAAACTCATCTCGTGGTGTGATATATGAGGGTGATCTGATGTCTGAAGAATACTTTTGCGTTTGTTAGACGACAGCACTTAGTGTCTGTGTTCTTTGATATAGAGAAGGCTTACAATTGATGCTGAAGATACGGGATAGTCTGTGATTTGCATGAATTCGGATTATGGGATAATGTGCTGATTTTTATAAAAAAACTTCCTACAGAATTGAAGATTCCAAGTTAGGATGGACTACACCCTTTCCTTTTGCCCAAGAGGAAGGTGTCCCTCAGGGTTGTATTTTGAGTGTGACTGTGTTCCTAATTAAAATTAACAGCATAGCTAACTGTTTCCCTCCCACCGTGAAACACTTTCTGTACATGGATGACTCAGATCTCCTGCCAGTCTAGTAACATGAGTTTCATTGAGAGACAGACAACTGCAAACCTCCCTAAATCATATACACGATTGATCCAAGACCAATGGTTTTAGATTTAACACCAAGAAGACTTCGTGCATCCACTTTTGCCGAAGGCGTGGTTTGCACCTAGATCCGGAAATTTTCCTAAATGGGGATAAAATTTCAATGGTAAATGAGGCTAAGTTTTTGGGTGTTTGTTTTGACCAAAAACTGACATTTTTGCCACACTTGTGCAATTTGAAGAGTAGATTTCTAAAATCTATGAATTTTTAAAGGTACTGTGCTGCTCATCCTGGGGAGCAGACAAATGTTCTATGCTCGGGATTTATAAGGTTCTTGTCTGCTCTAAGCTGGACTATGGTTGCATTGTTTATGGCTCTGCGTGAGAATCTACTCTTTGGATGCTGGATCCAATCCACCATCAAGCACTGCGTTTGTGCTCTGGTGTTTATCAAACTTCTCCTGTCCAAAGTTGTATGTGGATGCTTATGAGCCTCCACTATGCCTGAGCAGAGAACAGTTGTCTCTTTTTTTAGTACATTAAACAGAAATCTCTGAATAGACTCTCAGCTAATAATTTAGATACACAGCTGAGAAGATTATATGCAGCTCGGACGAGTAGTGTCTCCACATTTGACATAAGAATGGAGAATCTAAGCAGGATGATTGACCTGGACAAAAGCAACAGCTCACATGTTGAGGTTAATAGTATTTTACCTTGGTCAACCCCAGCGATAGATGTTGACTTAATCTTAAAGTAGTTTGCCAAAGAAACCACGCCAGACTACATCTATAGACAGCACTTTGCAGAAATTTAAAATCGTGATAGGAATTTAATTCCTATATACACCAATGGATCTAAATTTGATAACTATGTTGGTTTAGCCTTTGTTTGGCAAAATGAAATTTTGGCAGAAGAAATAGCATTGAATTTTTTCATCTTTTCTGCATAGTTGCAGGCTATTTATTTAGCTGTAAAGTATATAAATAGGAAAGGTCATCGTTGCTGCGTAATTTACACTGACTCAGTTAGTGTATTTCGGGCTTTTTTCTTGTATTAACCTAGTTCTCACTCTATAGTTAACATTAAATTAGTTTCCAAATTTTTATATCTTACTATGAGAAAATTTTCTGTAAAGTTTTGTTGGGTCTCTGATCATGTGGGTATAAGAGGTAATGAAGATACCGACACAGCTGCTAAGCTAGCAAATTCTTCACAGCATACAATGCCTATCGAAGCTGGTGATTTGAAGCTAGTTGTTAAAAAATGACTAGCAGAGTTATGGCAAATTATGTGGAACACACAAATCCACAATAAACTATATGAGATCAAATTTTTGATTGAAAATTGGACACATAATAGGCAGTATGATAGGAGATCTGAGGTTCTCCTTACTCGTTTGAGAATTGGACAAACTTGACTGACTCATCAATATTTTTTGAAGGGTGACGATCAACCAGTATGTCAGTATTGCAATTGTACTGTAGGTGTTAAAGACATACTTTGCAACTGCGTTGCGTTTGATAAAAGTCGTAGAGAGCATTTCGGAAATGCAAGTTAGAGCGAGATTTTTGGCCAGAGGCCAAATTTGTATAGAGAGATATGATTATTTATTTATTTATTGTACAGTTTTATTTACTTTGTGTTGTTAATTTATATTGTTGTATATATTTTTTTTGTTGTTGTTTGTTTAATTAATTAATTAATTAATTATTTATTTATTTATATAATTTGTTATATTTCTTATGTGTCAGTTTAAAAATTATACATTATTTGTTGTGGCGCAGCTTAGCCTGTATGGCTCTTGCGTTAAAAAACCTGAACTAACTGGAAATTTAAGTGTGACAATGGTGTTGGGCCAAAGGCCAAATCTTGAAAACTTACTGGATTTTTGTAGAAGAGATTTGATTATTCATTTCATAGTTTTACCTGCTTTGTTTTGCTTATTTATATTGTTGTATATATTGTTCTTGTTTATTTATCTAATTTTGTCATATGTTTGTTGTTTTCATGTTTAAAAATATTTTATCATTTGCTATGGCACAATTCAGCCTATATGGCTCTTGTGCCAAAAAACCAAAATCAGCCAACTAATGAACCAATTTTGCCAGGAATTAACATGCGGAGTAGTGTCGAAAGTTTCCAAAAGTTTTTGTCATTAAATTAGTTGTCATTAAATGGCTGGTTGTATCGATTAGTAAAGAATTTTTTTTAACATCCATAATATTCATCATACTGAACTATTTTTGAGCTTTATTCAAATTAACAGCAATTACATTTAAAATTTTTCTAGCTCTCAAAATAGTAATTGGAATATTTTTCTGTGTCATTTACAAAATCTCGAAAATCATTTACAGGAACAATGTATTTTATTATTTGATTTAACTGTTTTAGTATATTTTCACCTTTAATTTATGGTGCTTCACAAATTTCATTTGGCCAAGTTTCATGGTTTAATACATTGAAAGCATTTAAAAGATCATTATACTTTTCATTTTTATCATCGAACAGTAAATGAGTTGTCATATGTATTGAAAAATGATAATTTTTTTCTAAACGCTTGGATCTTTTGCCACATTTCATAAATATACCTCGTTTCACCTTGCAGGCAAATATTTAAATTGTTTTGTTTTGTCATCATATCAGACAAAAATGCAAGGTTTCTGAGAAATACTTCATCTGATAGATCACATTGTTTTCCTTGTTCTTGATAAAAGTTTAAAATTTGTCGTCGTAAAGACAAAACTTTTATCAAAACCTGACCTGTTGATAGCCAGCGAACCTTGCAGTAGTATGGTAGGTCAACACTATATGTTTTCTCATCTAAAGAAAGCATCTGCCGAAATTTACGATGACGCATTGCATTTACGCGAATATAGTTGACAATGGCAATGGTTATATCCAGAGTGTCTTGCAAAATGGTAGATTTTGCGCAAAGATTTTGCTGATGCAAAATGCAGTGAAATGATATCAATTTTTTCAAGTTTAAGTTTTCCTTTTTTAACAAAGCAACGAATCCTTCTTTTTTGCCTCTCATGGAAGGTGCGCCATCGGTGCAGACACTGACTAAATTACTGACATTCAATTGTAATTTATTACATATTTCTTTGAAGTTTTCGAAAATATCGGCTTCTCGAGTTCTTCCAGTTAGTGTACCCAACGCAAGTAGTTCTTCGTAACATTGAAAATCTTTAGTTATAGCATGAATAAAATATAAAACTTGTGCCGAATCTGTTTTATCAGTGCTTTCATCTAAAGCAATTGAAAAATAAACATCTTCATTTTGTATAATTGTATGAAGTTGCTCTGTTACATTTTGCGCTAATTCGTGCTGTCGATCTGTTACAGTTCTTCTTGAAAGAGGTAATTGTTTGTATTTGTCGACATTTCTTGGATCTAACATACTCACTGCTTCAACAATACATTCTTTAATTATTTCAATGTCACTAAATGGTTTGCCCCTTTTTCCAAGTATATGTGCTATTTTATACGTAACAGCAACTGCAGCGGAATTTTGATTTACAAAGGCACTAAAAGATGCCTGCTGATGATGCTTCTCATTTTTCAACTTTTGAAGTGCAGCTTTTCGTGATTCACCTTCTAAAGCGAAATATTTATGTTCTTTATGAGTCAAATAGTGTTTATTTGCATTCGCTTTTTTTAAAGTATTTAAAACTGTATTGCACAACAAACACATCATTTTATCTTTCTCAGCAGTAAAGAAAAAATCTAACTCCCATTCTACATTAAATGTTCTGTTTTCATCACCTAATTTTCTTCTCTTACTATTTGACATGATGGATAAAAAAACGAATATCAAATAATATCTTTAACAAAGTGTATACTTTCTAGAAATACAATAAAACCGTGTAACTGTTATAAGCACTCACTGTTAACTACAGTTTGCTGAAGATCGCAACAGGGAAGCGTTGAGAGATGCGAGTCAGAGAAGCCAAAGCAAGGTGTGACACTCAAATGGGAGATCTGAAACCGAGTTTTGTTTACTTCTTAGACAAGGTAGTTGGCGCTGCTAGCGCTTTTTAAACAGTTTTTTAAAAAATTAACATTTTTTAAACAGTTTTTTTTTTCGTTTAGTTACTAAACGAAAAAAAAACTGTTTAAAAAATTAACATTGAGTGTCCAAGTCTGAAACGGATGGTCTGTGGGCCAGAGCCTCGCTCATGCGTGTTAGAGTCTGTTTCAGATTAGTATTCTGACGTCATGTTACAATATGACTCTCTTTGGCAGGATTTTTCGCTCAACTGTCATGGCATTGATGTACAATAGTTGTTTGAAACGAACTCTACCATTTTTGTACTAGGTGGTGAAGGGCCGCACAAGAACCTCGCGGAGGTTGCATGCGGCCTCGAGGCCGCAGGTTCCCCACCTAGGTGCTAGACAGTGCCAAATGCAAATACCTGGAAATTTTTGTTCAATTTATGTTGCCACTCCAGACTTTTTCCTTAACATTACACTAGCATCGTCTGAGCAAAATCCAATAAGATTTTCTTTTAAATATTGTTTCTCAAAACCATGTTTTTCAAGAACTGTTATTAAAGTCTTAAAAACTTTTTCTGATGTTTCTTATAATTTGATCACATCAATAAAAATTGTTATGCTGTCCTCGAAATCCATTACTTCAGATTTTAAATAAACAATAAACACACTTTTATATGAAACAGTTAAGGCTTTATCAATAATAATTGAAAGTTTGGCTCTTGCAATTATAAGTTTTTCGAAAATATTACTTCTTATTTTTGTAAAGATATGCTTTATGATAAGTGGAATTATAAATCTTGAGTGCGAGGAAATTTCCAAATCTACATTATTTTTATTTTGGAAAATTATTAAATTTGGAAAATCAGTAAATGGTTTATTGTTTTTAATTATAAAATAGGCAGTATTAAAAATGTGTATGGTGTTTTTTAAAAACTTTTCATTAGCCACATTGATATTTTTGGAAGTAACATTTTTTTTTACCTGTATTGATCATTTTGCCTGCTTTTTTGTGTGATGTTGATTCATGATGCTGTTTCAATTTTTTTCTGATTGATGCTTGTAAAATTTCCTTTTTTTTCTATGAGGTTTAACAGAACATGATTTCCATTCTAATGACATGTGTAAATGTTCAGCACTTTCAACATTTAATGATCCTACTTGTGAACACCATTGACATCCAACATTTTCATTGCTAGCAATATGAAGCCATTCATATTTTTTAAAAAGTATTCCTGTTGTAATTCCAGCTTTGTAATAAACAATTACTACTATTATTCTCAATTGATGTTGGTTTTCGTTTATCTTCACTAGACGTTTTCGGTTGTTCTTTATTGCTGTTTTCACTAGATATTGTTGTTTGTAGTTGCTCTTCATTGTCAATATTTGCTGTTTTAGATTTGGTTATAAAATTATCCAAAACCCTTTGTCCTTTTCTTTCTAAAAATAACAAATAATTATTTTATTAAAAATTTTATACACTCTGCAATTTTAAAATATATTACTTGAGTGTCGATAGCCCAACACATGTTCCGCAGCCATCTTGTATTTTCTTGCGTGTGTGGGATTGTGGTATCTCCCTTATGACTGGATTTACTTTCCAGAACTCTTGAGTTGATCACGATGGAATCTCGTTTCAGTTGAGATTGAAATGGTTGAGGGAGATCGCACTAAGGCAAATGGAGTATAAGGCTCTAGTTCAGAAGTGTTACATAGTATAATATGCATATTTTAATGTATTTTTTAAAAGAAACAAAACTACTGAGAAATGTTACATATGTTTAACAAGGTTTGGAAAACTTTGGAAATGTTAACAATGGGTTTGGCCGAACCTGTGCGAATTTGCTGAATATCACCACTGATTGTATCTGCAGCACTTGTAGCATCTTGTGAGTGGAATGTAATCATTTACTTTCACGTTGTCTTAACTGAGAGATGTGTTTCCTTGCTATAATGATATGGATCTGGGGAGGGATAGATATGATTATATGACCATAGTTTTTTTTTACTTTCCCTCTTCCTAATGTTCTCACTGCTTTCACACCTTGTTAAACAAAAGATTAACAATCCTTACAGCTTTATTTTTCAAATAACAGCATTCATTTTAAATTATTATAATTTTTTTATATACTTTTTTTGTAAAAACACTTTCTGGAAGGTTTTTATTTCGTGGGAATTATTTCCCGAAAATTTTTTTGGATGTCATATTTGCATGGAAATAATTATTTCATATAAAAATAAATTTTTGTGGATTTCTTACTTGCATTTGAATCGGAACAAGGGTAGTGAACCAGTTAAGCCTTGTTTTTCTCTCATGGAGTTGTTGAGTATGACTAGTGTTCTTAGTTCAGTATGACTAGTGTTCTTAGTTCAGTATATTCAGATTGATATTTTTCTAGCGTAGCTTTTAAAAGGGCCCCTCGATGTGGGTTTCCGTCCGTGGCGAGGAGACCTCCCAGAGATGGTTTAGAAACTCTTCTTTACCATCCCTGGGATCTGAATGCCCACCCACGTGTTTGCCGAGCGTGGTGTCCCGTATGCTGGTAGTTGAGGGGCAACATAACGTCCCCAACACACTGCTTTGGCCCCTGCTTCGGATAAACGGGAGGCTGAAATCAGGCTCCATTTGAGTCAGTCGGCTGGTTGTTGAGTCATTCTTGACCTCGGCTTGGAGTCAACCGATCGATGCAGACCGGGCGGACACGTCAGACAAGATGTGCTCTTCTTGACTGCATTGTGAGGGTATAGCTCCTGGGAAACCCTGGTGTGACGGTCTATGGAAGTACTCCATGTGACGGCATCCCATGGTGGGTGGGGTCACCAGCAGCTGAACTGTTATTATTAAATATGGATTCACTAAAACATAAAACATGTACTGATGCATTACCACCAAGGGATGCCATCTCTTTCAATCAACCAGCATATCTTATTGTTCATGCTATGGGAGAAACACCTCTATCTAAACGTTCTCCTTTTTTGATTCAAAAATTGTTTGAATTGACCATTGGGAATCTTAAAAAAATTCAAAAACTGAGGTCAGGAGATCTACTTGTAGAAGCAGCCTCCCCTCAACAGTCAGCAAAGCTTCTGAAAATGAAGTCTCTAGGAGAAATAATGGTAACCATCACACCACAAACAAATTTGAACTTGTCACGTAGTGTGATATCTGAAACTGATCTGATGTCTGAGGATGAATCAGATATTCAGATTGGTCTCTCAGACCAAGGTGTCACTGCTGTTCGACGAATTTCGATTTGTCGTGATGGCAAGTTGATACAAACAAAACACATTATATTGACATTCAACAAACCAACATTGCTATCTTCTGTTGCGGCAGGATATCTCCGTTGCCCAGTTCGTTCATACATTCCAAATCCGCTATGTTGCTTTAAATGTCAGTGGTTTGGACACTCCCAAATATCATGGAGAGGAAAAAAAGCATGCACACAGTGTGGAAATGAAGACCACCACAGTACTGAATGCACATGTTCTCCATGCTGTGTAAACTGCAAAGATACCCACCCTGCCTATTCTCGAAAATGCACTGCATGGCAGAGAGAGAAAGAAATTCAGCGATTGAAGATTGTTAATAATATATCTCACCCGGAGGCACGTTGCGTGGTCACTCTAAGTGCACCAGTGAAACAGAAGACATTTGCTGGTGTTCTGAAATCCACAAAGACATGTGGAGTTCAGACAGACATTTCTGTTTCACCAAATGAATCTCTCACACGCCATGAAAAATGTTTGCTGATACCATCTACCAAAGCAACAGAAAAAGAGAATAACAAATCAAAACCACTTATACCTAAAACAGGGGTAACAACTAGGAATGTGGGTTCCAAAAAAGCCAGTAAGAACCCACTTAATAAACAAAGGATAAAAGCAGCCCTATCTAAATAAAAAAAATGGGAGACTCAGTCTATGAGCGAGTTCTCCGACTTCTCTGATGAACAGATTAATAAGGGGGTGACACCATCGACATCACCTCCAAAAGAAAAACCCCCTGTAAAATTAAAGAGGAATAACCTTGCTAAAAATGCTGCCTCAAATACATAATGGATTATAAAATAATCCAATGGAACTGTCATGGTTTCCGCAACAACTTTTCTGACGTTAAACACTTGACATCATCTACCTCATCTCTCTGTGTGGCACTCCAGGAGACTCATTTGAAACCTGGAGAAAGCATTACTTTAAAAGGAGTCAATCTCTATAGGAAGGATGATGATAGCCACAACCGTGCCAGTGGAGGTGTGGCTATTGTAATTTCAAATCACATCCCATCTTTGTCAGTACAAATAACCACTGATTTGCAAGCTGTGGCGGCCAGAATTTCTATTGGAGTAACTGACACAGTTTGTTCTATATACTTGCCACCAGATGTCAGAGTCAATGAAGATGCATTGGTTGAACAGCGGCCAACTCCATTCCTTTTACTGGGTGATTTCAATGGTCACAATCCAATGTGGGGCAGTCTCGACATTAACCATCAAAGCAGAGCCATTGAAAGATCCATAGGTAATCACCAACTATACTTATTTAATACTGGAGGAGTGACATATTTCCATGCCCCAACAAGAACATTCACTGCCATTGATCTATCATTTGCAACCCCAAACCTGTTTTCAGCATTTTTATGGAAGGTTGGATCTAATCCACTCTCTAGCGACCACTTTACAATTCCTCTAAAATATCAAGGCAGTGAAAGCTGTGAAACAGCCCATCCACCATGCTGGAAACTTGAAACTGCAGATTGGCCTGCATTCTCCTCTTTGGCTGACATCACTGAGGAAATGGTTAATACTGCTGATATCAATGATGCAGTTGAAGTTGTCACTTCTAGTATTATTCAGGTGGCTGAAAAAACGATGGGAAAAACATCAACTAGATTCCCACAGCATCAGAAACCATGGTAGGACCAGAATTGCAAGGCAGCATTTAAAGCACAAAAGAAAGCATGGGGGATTTTCATAAGATACCCTAGTGCTGAAAATTTGATTGCTTTTAAAAAAGCAAAGGCAAATGCCAGAAGAGTTAGAAGGCAAAGCCAAAGGGATTCTTGGAGGAAGTATGTTTCTAGCATAAAATCTTCCACTAGCTCAAAAGCAGTCTGGGATAAAATCCATAAAATCAATGGGAAATATGTTTCTCACTCTCTGTCTATGCTGGAAAATAATGGCACAATAATCAGCGACATACAGGGTATTGCTGATTTATTGGGTGAAACATTTACTGCTTCATCCAGCAATATTATGTATTTAAGGGATTTTCAGGTTTATAAAGCCCAAAGTGAAAACAATATTTAAACTTTCACTCCTCATCTAATGAGGATTATAATGTGCCATTCACCAGCTTAGAACTACATACAGCGATCTCTCGCTCGGGTAATAGTGCTGTAGGCCCGGATAAAATCCACTACAGCATGATTAAAAATCTGTCAAAGAATTCCTTTCTAATCTCCTGTGTCTGTTTAACAGAATATGGACAGAACATACTTTTCCTGACTCTTGGAGGCTATCTATCATTATTCCCATTCCCAAGCCTGGTAAAGACCACAAGAATCCCTCTATTTACAGACCAATCTCTCTGACAAGTTGCTTGTGTAAACTCTTTGAGAGGATGGTAAACAGACATCTGATGTATCTCTTAGAGAAAAATGAATACTTTTCACCATATCAGAGTGGTTTTCATAGGAACAGAAGTACCACTGATAACTTAGTAAATGTTGAAACATCTATTCGGAAAGCCTTTGTTAGACGACAGCACCTAGTGTCTGTGTTTTTTGATATAGAGAACGCCTATGATCGCTGTTGGCGATATGGGATACTTTGTGATCTGGACCATTTTGGATTGCGGGGTAATTTGCCAATTTTCATAAAAAACTTTTTAGAGAATTGAAGATTCCAAGTTAGGATGGGCAATACTTTATCTAGGTCTTTTACGCAAGAAGAAGGTGTTCCTCAAGGCTTTATTTTGAGTGTGTCTATGTCCCTAATTAAAATTAATAGCATAGCTAACTGTCTTCCCTCTAGTGTGAAACACTCTTTGTATGTGGATGACTTTCAGATCTCCTGCCAGTCTAGCAACATGAGTTTTATCGAGAGACAACTGCAAACCTGCCTAAATTGCATAGACCATTGGTCTTGGACCAATGGTCTATGCGATTTAGTTTTAGTTTTAACACTGAGAAGACCTCGTGCATCCACTTCTGCTGTGGGTTGCACTTGGATTTCGAAATTGATTTAAATGGGGTCAAAATCCCAATGGTGAATGAGGCAAAATTTTTGGGTGTATTGTTTGACCATAAACTAACATTCTTGTTGCACTTGCGCAATTTGAAGAGTAGATGTCTAAAATCTTTGAACCTTTTAAATTTACTGTGCTGCTCATCCTGGGGAGCAGACAAATGTTCTATGCTCAGGATTTATAGGACCCTTGTCCGCTCAAAGCTGGACTACGATTGAATTGTTTATAGCTCTGCGCGAGAATCTACACTTCGGATGCTGGATCCAATCCACCATGAAGCACTACGTTTGTGCACTGGTACTTTTCGAAGTTCTCCTGTACAAAGTCTGTTTGTGGATACTTATGAGCCCCCACTATCTCTTAGGAGAGAACAGTTGTCTCTTTTTTATTATATAAAACAAAAATCTTTTAGTAAACCTTCAGTTGATTGTATAGTATTAGATACTTAGCTGAAAAGATTATTTGAAGCTCGCCCAAGTAGTGTCCCTTCATTCGCCATAAGAATGGAGAATGTGAGCAGCACGATTGACCTACGATACAGGCAACATTTCACAGCTAGAGGTCTGTAGTGTATCACCTTGGTCAACTCCTGTGATAAATGTTGACCTTAGCTTAAAGCAATATCCAAAGGAATCCACACCTGACTACATCTATAGACAGCACTTTGCAGAAATTCAACATAGTGACAGGAATTTAATTCCTATTTATACAGATGGATCTAAATCTGATGATTACGTTAGCTCAACTTTTGTCTGCCAGGATGAAATCGTGGCAGAACAAATTGCATTGAATTCTTCCATCTTTTCTGCAGAGTTGCATGCTATTTATTTAACCTTAAAGCATGTAAATAGGAAAGGTCATCGTTGCTGTGTGATCTACACCGACTCTGTTAGTGCACTTCAGGCTTTGATCTCATGTGAACTTAGTTACCACTCTATAGTGATTAAAATTTATAAATTGTTTCGCCAACTTCTTGCAAGGAATCTCTATATAAAATTTTGTTGGGTCCCAGGCCATGTAGGTATAAAAGGAAATGAAGAAGCGGACGCAGCTGCAAAGGCAGCTAGTCCTTCACAGCATGAAATGTGTCTCGAAGGAAGTGACTTGAAGCTAGTAGTTAAAAAACGATTAGCGGAGAGATGGCAAAACATGTGGAATGCACAAATCCACAATAAACTACACGAGATCAAGCCAAATATAGAAAATTGGACACGTAACAAACATTATGACAGGAGATTTGAAGTAATTCTTACTCGTTTGAGAATTGGGCATACTCGGTTGACTCATTTATACCTTTTGAAGGGTGAAGACCAGCCAGTATGTGAGTATTGCAACTGCACCCTAAGTGTAAAACACATGCTGTGCAATTGCTCTGCTTTCAAGACAAGGCATAGACAATATTTCGGAAATGCTTGTTTGACAGAAATCCTTGGCCGAAGGCCAAATGTCAATAATTTACTAGACTTTCTGAAAGTCACTAATATTTATAAACAAATTTGAATATTTATTTATTTACCTATTCATGTATCTATACTTTTATATACCTTGTTTTTATATATTGTTACTGTTATATATGTTTGTTATTGTTATTTGTTATTAATTTTTAATATATGTATATATGACCTTTTTAATTTTACCATTTGGAATGGCGCAGCATAGCCTATATGGCTTTTGTGCCAAAAAACTTTAACAAACCAACCAACCTTAACAGTCCTAACACGGCTGCAGCACTTTTATTGGAAGCATTTATGTATAAACAGAGAGGGCTGTTGAAATCAAAATGAGCAAGTAAGGGAGGTGTTATGAGAATGGCCTTAAATCCATCAAAACATGCTTGACACTGTCACTCTATATGAGTTTTTTTTCCCTTTTTTGTTAGTTCAATTAAGAGGAGGGCTAGCTCAGCAAATTTTGGGATGAAACTTCAAAAAAACTAACCATTCTTAGGAAAGCACTTACTTGCTTAACATTTACAGGGTGACTTTGGTCCATAATGGCAGATATATTTCTCAGGTCGGGGAGGATTCTGTTTTTGTCAATCACACGCCCTAAATACCGCACTTTGCTCATAATTAATTTTGCTGTTTTTAGGATGCAATTTTAAATTGAAGCTACCAAGAATGTTCAAGACCTTATCGAAGAGTTTCTTATGTTTGTCTATCATACGGGAGATTAACACATCATTTTGGAACACACAACAATTGATACCCAGAAACTGGGCCAGGAGGTTTGACATTACATATTGGAAATATCTTCCACTGTCTTTAGCTGCCTGAAGTAATCTATCTACACATTTGGTACTTACCCCAAGGTGTGGAGAAAGCAAAGATGTGTCTTATTGAGGGGTCTAGGGAATTTGAAAATATCCTGATTTTAGATTTAAGACAGAAAAATACTGGCTTTTGTGGAGTCTGCACAGTATTACATTGACCCTCACTATAGGCCATTGGCTTATATCATGGGTTTATGAGAGAACCTTGTTGTACCTTTTAATTTGGCTATAGAAGTGAGAAAACATTCTTGGTGTTTATTTAATATACTATATAGTTTTTCTTATTTTGAGAATCTAGGTGACTAAGATTTTGAGTCACCACAGAGGTATTACTAACACAATTAATGAGATATAAGGGTGTTAAAGTTCTTGTAAGTTCCCT